TTAGCAAAGCTTATATTTACCTCTACATTAAGGAGGTCGAATGTTTTACTTGCGAAAAACAGCTATAAATTATACGAATATTTCGGTTGCGTTTTAATTATAAATGTAATGTTTTAAAAACACAGTTGAATGTTTTTAGGGTTGGGTGGCTACTCCAGGCGAGCGTGGTAATGAAATTGGATTCTTTGGTATTTATATAAGGTTAAAATTAGAATGTTAGAACATGTAAATTATGTATAACATGCCAGTATTGGTGGAAAAAATTTTGATTTTATGTTAAGTAGCTTGTTAAAAAGCCGTGCTCATAATATAAGATAGAATACGTAATATCATTAAAAAACAATAAAGATAATATTCAAAATATTCTACCTTGTTCTTTAAATTGTGATCAGTTTTTTAGATCATGTACCAATCAGTAACAGATGTTACTAAATTGTAGTCTAAAATGGATTGAACTAAGATATCTAAGTAGGTAGCTATTGTACTTTATTTTTATTATTATTGTACCTTTTATATTTTATTGTTTTAGAAACTGCAGGTTTCATTTCCCAAACTATCAAACTGTATTCTAATCATTTATTTGTAAGAGACAGTTTGTTTCTTGGATAAAGATTAAACAAAAAAGAACAACCTTTCACGCTATATCTTAAAATCTTTATTTTGGCACTTATTGATTTTTTAACACATTAACAATACATCTAATTTCAGGATGCCATTTATAGATAATCGCCAAGACCAAAATTAAAAGTCCACTAACAGTTTACGTATTTTGTCCACCACTGTACAATTTTGTATTAGAAAAATTTGAAATACATTAACAATGAAAACCTCTTTACTGACTAGTAAACCAATTACGTAATAGACTTCTTCTTTTTATTATTCTCAGAACTAGTGAGAAAATAAGAAAAAGGTTCATAAAACTAAGGTTGGGATAAAGACCGGTGATCCATCTGATATACCTGAGTAACGAAGGATGACCTACGGCTTTACCTTCTCGGAACCTACAGACGGGAGTTTACGATACACAATTTACTTCTAAACGTTTTAACAAAGCCTTTGTGTAAAGAGTTAGGTAGTCATGAAAGAACTAAACAAAGGTATGTTGCTGTTTGACTGTGAAGGATTTTGGTACTATTGTTTTAATCGTTGCACCATTTTAGGGTTCACTTCTATGTAGGCAACTCTATGTAAAAACATAGTATTCGCGTAGTATAAAATTCAAAATTCGAAGCCCCGCCCACGCTTCGCTCGAGCGGGTACCGCGCTCACCAACAGTTGCTACCGAAACGTTAAGTGAGTGAGCGTGTTTGACCGTATTCCAGCCAATTTTCTCAGTTTCTTGAATCGTTGTGGAAGCATCCAGCCCAAATCTGTAACCTTGTATGTTATACGTTTATAACAATAGTAATACATTTTAAAAATAATTACCACTCGCTAGAAAGACATGCAATGTTGGACACAGGTCTTCATTTTAGGAGTTTTACAATCATGGCTAGACCATTATGTCTAAGTCGTTTGGTAGGCCTATGGGAATGGCACTTAGGTGACTGCCCAAAGTTTCTGCTGCCCGTTAATCAGTACCTATGCTGGTCCAAAACCTGTAATTGATAAAATTATACCTATGATATAAACTTATTACAGCGAAGTATTTATTCTTAATTTCAAAAGAAATAAAATCATTCTGAGTTTCATCCATAAGTTATAAACAAAATTGTATTGTGTTTCGTTTTGTTTACGTGACTGTACCTAATTTACTTTTGCAGTAATTTGTCGAAATCTCTTGAGAATCGCTTGACATTAAGTAGATTGTTATCACTGGTTAATCAGTTTATACCCGTCGTCGCTGATACCAAACTTGATCCAGGCTTAACCTGCAAAATTGTTTAAAATACAATTATGAATTGTCAACGTATTTTTGTATAACTTTAGCATAATTAATTCGAACGAAATCTCGAAACTTTATGATTGTTCACGATGGTGTTATGAACTTGAACATTGTACTTATTAAGAGAGTATTTTAAAAGTTTAATTAGTTTTGTTTTGCCTCGTATTTCCTGGTTGGCAAGTTTTTGTTTTGAATTTGAAACTGAAGATAGAGCAGTAATTTATATTTTCATTGAACATCTATATCTATACATATAATAAAATCGTTGAAAAGTGAAAAAAATCGTTGCATCGAAGCGTTGCATTGCGTCGAAGCAAAAAAATGGTTTTTAGAATTTATGACTGTTTGTCTGTTTGCGTGTCCCTCAAAAAATAGTTACAGCATGGATTTACTTCAAATTTTGCATTAATATTACTAACAGGTCGGGGCAACATATAGGCTATATATTATCACGCTATCACCTACGGGGGAGAAGATGTGAGTCACTATTCTACGACAAAGTCGCGGGCACAGTTAGTTCATGCAATAAAATTGTTGGAGTATGAAATTTAAACTGACAGCACGTTTACATAACAAATTTAAATAACACTTTAACGTTCAAGGAATGTATTTTATCATTTATAGGTAGAAATTGAATGAAGAAATTTTAAGCTTAGACTACGGTATGTACCAAATATTTGTGGAGACACCTTGAAGGTAGATATAGTTGACAAGATTCTAACAAATATTAGCATAATCCGCCAGTAGAGAGCTGTTAGAACATAACTTTGGATCGTACCAACTAGTGTTTTACTACTGGTATTACCATAATGTTGAACAAAATGTTGTATAATTACGTACTTAAAACTTGTGATAGTAAAAACTTTTATAAAACTTGTCGAACATCAACATGAGTAGTTGAATATTATTTAAATGTCTGGTAAATAACTATTTTAAAACTATACTATAATCTAGAGGTATCTATATATATATATCTATATATAAATGAAACTCGTTTCCCGTTATTACGCCATAACTTGAGAATGGCTGGACCGATTTGGCTGATTTTTTTGTTGTTTTTGTTATCATCAGGAGAAGGTTGTAATGACAGAAAAAGGTCCTGAAAATACTACGGGAATAGGAAAAACAGGATTGCGCGTACGAAATCGCGGGCAGAAGAGAATTAAAAACGTCCCTGGACGTTGTTGAAAAAAGCCTATTTATTCTGTTTAGCATATAGCCTAATATACCCGCCTACTCGAATACGCAAATTAATGTATAACAATAGGAAGTTCCATATATTTATTAAGTTAACAACCAAGTTCTTGAATAAGACTGAAGATACAGAATGTTTAATAAAGCTAGGCGTGATGACTATAGGTATATTTTTATCTACAAATCTGCAAACGCCAAAGAAAACTATTTGTTTATTTAAGTAACATCTTTTTTTTTCTATGAATAAACTTTATTAATACGAATTTAAATTAAATAAATATATAAAACTTACTTAAAATATAACTATCTAAAAACTAAAATATTTACACCTTAAAAAAGTAATATAATATAAATGCTATCTTAAAGCATCTAAATAATAAAAAAAGGAAAACTTCATAAACTATGAAAATATATCATTTTTTTGTAATACCCCAGGCTAATAGTACGGCAGGTGTCCTAACAAAATGTATTCATAATATGCTACATTTGTACAAAGCTATTCGTACCAAATGTAATAAGAAATGCTCTCAGAACTACCGGGTATTTTTAATATAAACTGAATACTAAATTCCACTACAACAATATCCTTTGGTTTCTCGAAAAGAAACCTTATTATAAATTCTTATGAACTATTTTTGTAGTAGGTATCTGTAATCTCGCATTCACGTGACCTCTACCACTGAATGTGATACTTGCACCTCCATAGATAATGATGGAGATATTATGTAATAATAGTTTATTTTCCTTGAACAGTACTTTTTCTGATGTTTTTCTTCGTATCTGTTTATAAGTATTCGTATCATTATACACTATGTTATCGTGAATTTATTGATAGTTTGCACCGTTGATGCTTTGGTAAAGCGATTTATGGCTCTGCTATGTAGTCCTAAAGGGAGCAATTCAGCCATCAGACCACCACGGATTGGGCCTAATAGGGCTGATGCCGATATGAAGCCGCGAAGAACCTAACGGGTTACCGGAGCTCCGGCTTGAAGTGTATAAGTAGGAACGGGGTGGTTTTTAGTCAGTAAGAGTCTGACTCTCCCTCCCGCCTCAGTCAGGCGGGAGAAGTCATTCGATGATTTTCCCCCCTTAAAAAGAGGGAGTCAAATTGAGTATTTGTAGGTATGGTCTGCAAATATATGGACCAGGGCTTCGAGTGATAAGCAATTATTAAACTAAAACATTAAAGTATTAATTTTTCGCTAAAGTCTTTGTGCTTTCATAAACACGTTAAATCAACTCCATAAAGCAATGGCAAGCAAACATTACTTACAAAGTACACACCCTATGAAAATTAATGATTTCGTCGTATGACTAAAACTTGGTGTTTTTTCAAAACATGTAACTATAGAACATGGAATGTATGATTTATTGTTCAATGTACTTACTAGGAATTTACATATTCAATGTTATTTTGGTGTCGTTATATGGCTTTTTAATTGTCACTGAGTCATGTTGCGACAAAATAAATGATAGGTTTTCAGTATGGGGTGATGTTGTAATAGGGCAGACATAATAATTTGTACGCCTTTTATTCCTGTCCATTTTTCGCTAGATTGTTTTAATATTACATGTCTACCTAACATGACCATTTTTTAAGCGAGGGAAATTACCGAATCGCTTCTCCCGCCTGGGTGAGGCGGGAGGGAGCGTCAAACTCTTACTGACTAAAAACCACCCCGTTACTACTCTTGCACTTTGAGCCCGGTCCTCTCTGCCTCTTTTTCACTTTAATTAGGTTACGGTCGATACTAACTGATAGTAACGGTTAACCCAATGACTTCCATTGCGTTAGGACCCACTAACAGTAACGGTTGTTGGGTCTTCTGTCAAAATATGTAGACTGCCATAATTATATGCTTAAGATGACAATAATATATTCTGAAATTAAATTAAATCTTTCTTTCCTTATTTCCAGAATCACTCTTGGCAACTGTATGGGTTTGGGTGAAAGGCCATTCAGTCCACCATGGTGGGTGCAACTTGCTTGGTTTATGGTATTCGCAATCATGCTACTGCTCGCTGTCTTGGGGAATACCTTAGTCATCTGGATAGTTTTGGGTGAGTAACAATCTATTTAAATTTTTATTTATAGAATGTAGAGGATAGGTATCCTAATAGATACAGGTATATCTATTAGGTCTATTGTAAGTAGCACAATTTAGTATGAAAACCACAGTCACTATCATTAAGAAAAAATAATAATGTTAGAAATTACATAATGAAGAACTGGGAGTTTGCGACAAAATGCCGTATAATATTATGTATAACAGTGGCCCGTCCCGGCTTCCCACGGGGGGACTTAAGATTTTTTACATAGTTTTACGTTTTATTTATATTTATTCTCAGTTTTTTTTAGCGACCTGCCCTCCGTTGTCGATGTCGCGTCTTAAGGTAATCGATTGAACAATTCAAAAGTTATCTAGAGCAAACTTTTATAAGGATTGAACCATTCATTAAAACGATTGTTATGGGTAAACTATAAAAGGTAGACATATGCTCTCGCGGACTTTTTTAAAAATAATGTTAAGATGAACAATTCATCTATAGAGCATTTTTGTAAAACTTTAACTATATGCTCAGCGCACGCCACGGAAGGCCTCAGAAACGATAGTTTTCCCCCGTTTTTAAAACATTTTTTATTACTGCTCCACAACTATAGGACCTAGCGTGATATTATATAGCCTATGTTACTTCTGAATAATGCAGCTTTCTAATGGTGAAAAAATTATTGCAATCGGTCCAGTAGTTTTTGAGTTTATTCATTACAAACATACATAAATACAAATCTTTCCTCTTTATAATATTAGTATAGATACGGCACAGAATGGAATAATCAAACATGTAACTTAAAAAAGAGGCCTATCCTTTCCTGGCCTAATTGAAATAAATGGATTTTAACTTTGAGGCAGAAGCAAAAAAGAACTTCAAATCCCTACATGAGAAATGTTTCAACAGTGTTTAAAAATACCTTGTTAAAATCCAATTAAAATATCCTGAACAATGTTGGCTCTTACCTCTAAGAACGTGCTCATTATTAATAGTGGAAGAGTAAATTTAATTATTTTAGAAGGACACAATGAAGCGCCCGGTGAGCCAAAAGATAGCTCAACAGAGTAATTAATATTCTTGACAATATTCTACCTTGTAATGATTCATTGAACGTTCTACCTTTAATCTGGGTAAAAGTAAACGAAACTGTGGGAAACATTGTAGACGACAGTGACTGACTTGCTTCTTTGGCTAAACAATTTATTTAATGTTTACCTCTTTAGAAAATTGGTTCGCGAACTTTTAATTTCAGTCATTATTGTTAAGGGCATAGATGATACTTAGATTTGACCGCATTATTACTCTTGATTATCTATTATTACTCCGACCTAATTTTCTATCAATGTCGCAGCCTTCTTCAGAAATGTTGTTTTAGTTCTGATAGATATATATATATATATATATATATTACATTCAAATATTATCCAGTTTTTTTATTTTATTTATTTAATTACAGATTGATTCGTTTTTTTTTTCAGTTTAATTTTTTCTAGTAATCATTATTGCACGTACTTAACCTCAGTACAGTAAGCTCAGTAACCTTTAGTCGCGGAGAACATAACTGGTTACCGGGGCTCCGGCTTGAAGTGCAGGAGAAGGAACGGGGTGGTTTTTAATCAGTAAGATTCTGACACTCCCTCCCGCCTCACCCAGGCGAGAGAAGTCATTCGATGATTTACCCCCTAAAAAAAACCCCAGTGACCTTAGGGCCTTTAGCCAATGCTAATCTATGTCAATATGTACATACATAGGTCCATATATAACATGATACTTATTATTCTTTTAAGAGGAATAAAGTAAATCCAGCAAATCCCTTAAAAAGAGAGTACAGGCGTTCTCTAATACCAAAAACGTTTCAAGGAAAATCGTTTTGTTCCACATTTTAGCCAGATTGTTGCAGCAACTGAGAATAATGTAGCCAACTTGTATAATGCATATCGTTAAGAATACATTAAGGCTACTTCCTCATTCGTCAAAATGTAAATCGAATTTACAAACGAGAAAAGAATATTATTTAGAATCCCTTTTCGTAAATTTACGATGTCGAAACGACTTTGATTATAAACGTTCGTTTCGATTAATCGATGAATCGATATGAGATTAGCTTCAGTTTGTAGATGTGTTTATTTAACAATAGTTATAGCGATAAATATGATGGAGATTCCTAGAAGTTCCATTGTCATGATTAGGGACATTGTTTATGAACCTATTCTAACATCCTGCCTGTTTTTCTTCGAAGCTCCAACACTCACGACTCATATCAATACATAGTATAAAACAAAGTCGCTTTCGCTGTATGTCCGTATGTATGCTTAGATCTTTAAAACTACGCAACGGATTTTGATGCGGTTTTTTTTAATAGATAGAGTGATTCTTAAGGAAGGTTTGTATGTATATACATATTGCACCCGTGCGAAGCCGGGGCGGGTCGCTAGTTATGTATATTACATACATAAGTAATGTTTTATTGATGACCTATATACATACTATAAACAACATATATGAATAAGTGTTGTTTGTTCTGTAGAAGACAAATATTATTAAATGGCTTCAGATTCAATCGTGACGAGTAAATGTGACTTAAAATTGTTGATAGAGACTACTTGTGCGTACTGCTAAGGAGTGGATTTTTTTGCCAGAGTCTGTGTTTTCTGGGTGTCTTGAAGGCCCGAGTGAATAGGTTGCTTATGGACAGACGTGCTCCATCGTTGGCCGCATCATCGCTTACCAACAGGCGAGATAGTGGCCAAACGTCGGCCCATTAAATATAAAAAAAAACTAACCTTATAAAAAAAAAATATGATCTTTCATTTACTCAACTATAATTCAAGCAACTCATGAACATTAGACTACAAAAAACAATTTTAAAACTTCGAATTTTAGGAAAAATAAGGCGACACGTACCTGGACGTGAACCACATAAAATGCAGGGAACAACAACGTGTTACGTGACATCCCTAGCTATGGGGTCTCGTTTCACCCAATATCATAAAGCTATCAGGGTTACCCCAAAAAACACCATCAGACTTAAAATTTCAGTTTACCGGACTGAATTCACTGAGGTGAGTCGCATCGATGTCGTGGTAGCTCGGAGGTTTAAGATGTCCCGCTTCTCATGCATGAGGGTGCGCGCTGGTTCGAAACCTAGTAACGACAAGTACCACTGTGACTTTTTCCAAGTTATATGTACTGTCTAAGATTATTTAAACACAACTGACAAACGGTAAAGGAAGGTAAAGATCATCGTGACAAAGCCTGGACTTATAATTTTAAATTATAAGTTTGAAATCGCTAACTCGCTTTGAGCAAGCGTATTGATTAAAGCTCAAACCCTCTCTGAGCAAGAAGAGGCCTTAGGGCCACGACATCACTCAACGACATATTTTGAAAAACATTGAATGTTCATTTCTTCGTCATTCCTCTAAAGTCTTCTGGGCATAGAATGAAAGAGAAATGAAACATTCACTATTATAGGGTGAATATTCATTCGAGTAAACGGTCTGATATCACCTATGTGGTATAAAAGTTACCTGATTAAATTAAAAAGCAACTTAGTTGTTCAGTAGCAGAGTCAGTTGAATCCGTGTGTGTAATTACTCTACGCCTGGAGGTCTAAGTATATGTTCTTAGTTTAACGTAGTCTGACTCAAATTTCTTGCCAAAAATAACAAGCTTTCTAATATTGTAATTTGTATAATATTGTTTTGAGAGATTAATGTCGGAATACTGAAATGTTACTCAATTTTAAGTCGTGCTCAAATATCGTGTCATCTCTGTCATTTTACAAAGAATTTGTAGAGATATAACTAGAGGTATACTTAAGCACGACTTAAAATTGAGTAGCGTTTCAATATTCCGACATAAGTTTGTTTAGTAAATGGGTCTGAGTCAGTCTGTCTCTGACTTCATGATATTATGTGTGTACTATTTGTTTACTTATGTAATTATTAATTTAATGTTGTGTGTAATACAGTCAAATAGACTTGATATTTATTTAACTTCTGCGTTGTTGGCCGAGTGGTCGCAAATGCGACTGCCGGCCAAGGGGTCTTGAGTTCGATTCCAGGGTCGGACAAAGTATTACTAGGTTTTTAATTCTCAGTAGTAGCACGGACTCTGGAATTGTGCCCGGTATGGCAATAGGCACACCCCCTATTACATGGAACTCATAACATAATAGTGAAAAGTGGATGTGACATTGTACAACGGCAAAATGTGCACCTCTGCCTACCCTTTAAGGGATAAAAGGCGTAATGTTCGTGATATGCCAGAACGCAGATCTACGTGAGACACAATGTTTCTTTTAGGTCTCATATAAGGGCATTCAATTGGATAATAAAAGTATGGATGAAATTGTCTGCACCTACTTACAATGTAAGTAATAGAGTCTGCAATGATGGATACATAAACATTAGTAGTTCACATCTAGAACATAAATCATAATGAATATAGAATGACAACCCAAAAAGATAAAACTAGGTGTGACTACAGTTTTTTCACTGAATCCCAGTATTACAAGTCCATCATTATTTTCCGAATCCTATTTTTTCTAGAGAGCTACAAGAGGCACAATACTCTCCTGATTACAATTACGTTCACACACTACTTGCCTTTTATTATCATCTGACCCTCTTGTTGACACATTCGCATTCGGCTCGCATTCTACAACCTTAGCTTATCTCTATGTACTTTTGTACTTATAGATAGATAGTGGCTTAGGAAACGACGTACTCTGACGTGATTTTACTTTTCGAAGATAACGTATAACTATTTCAAATGCTCATTAGTTATGTAGATATTGATACTGCCTCGTCGGTTGCAAGTGCGACTGCCAGGTCTCGGGTCTAGGGTTCGATTCTCGGGTCGAACAAAGTATTACTGGGTTTCTAAAGAAAATCTCACTAGCCGCACGGAGTCTGGAATATGGGAAAAGCCTCGCCCCCTATTACATAAGACTCGTAACATAAATATGTGTGAAATGTGGGTGTTACATTGTACATTGGCATTAAGCGCCGTAAATGTGCTCCTCTGCCTACTTCTCCGGGGATAAATGGCGTGATGTTATGATGAAATAAGACTTGGTTAATTGTTAAACGGGACAGAAGTGAGTGATTCAATTTCACTACTTTTCATTCCTTTTAGTCATATCATAAGTTTCTACATATTTTATTGTCTAATATCAAATACCAGGTATCACTGTATGAGTATTAAAGAAAAATATCTTAAAATTTATTAAATATAATTATGTTAAAAATCACGATTGCCTTTCGTCAAAGTAACGATAAAGATCAATGTCAATTGTATTTCTAACATTATGTTACGTAGGTATGAAAGAATAAAATATGATGTGTGCATATGCATATGTGATGAAATACAAGTAAGAAAATGTATGAATGTTATACCTGATGGATATCTAATTATAATTTACTTCGTGCGTGGGCATTTACTCATGAGGAAATTGTGGGTAAATGTACTGGGAATAGTGAGGACCTTTTTATAGTAATACGTCAACAGAAATATTAACGGTCAATTACATCACTGGGCAATTGATTTCACGATGAATTACATATTCAGATTGTTGCTAAGGGAATTTTCGGAGACCTTGCTGAAAATATTTATTGACCTTGTACGAAAATGACACAGTTGCGAGCTAATGTGTGTTGCTTCCACACGCTTCTTCAGATGGAATAGGACTGGTTTGTAATCAAGATTAGGTGTTAAATTGTATAATAAACCCTGAATTTATTTCAACTTTTTGTTCACAGCACATCGTCGCATGAGGACAGTTACAAATTGCTTCCTCGTGAACCTAGCGTTCGCAGACTTGTTGATGGCAACCCTGAACGGAGCACCAAACTTCATATTTCTGGTGACCGCTGACTGGCCCTTCGGGTCAGTGACCTGTACTGCAAGCAACTTCACTGCCAATCTGACTGTCTCTGCTGGAGTGTTCACACTGGTCGCCATCACTGTTGACAGGTAACTCTTTTCTTAAAATTGTGATACTTTACGATTATCGTATCGTGTTATATTCTTTCTAAGCTTACGATGGTGCAGAAAATATTGTAATATCGCATCCTGATTTTAAATTATGTTATAAAGTCAGGTCCTCGCCGTATTAAACCCTTAGAGTGGCACGTCAATCAGGGGAGTTGGTGAGTTGGTGAGAGTGAGAAGTGAAGGTTTGAGTTTCAGCATTTTAAACTTGGAAGTTAAAGTGTTAATAATCTCTAACTCTGAAAATGTATGATCAAAAATTGAGGAGCAGATTTCCATGCGACTATCAGCGATGAATATAGGTGGAACCTTATCGTTGAATTTTTTTTTTCGCCGATTTTGCCAGCTACACGTTTGTTTCTTACCAATAATGTACTAAAAGCATTAGATATTCGTGTATATTTCAAAGAATTCCTGGAACAAGTTAAATTGGATCATATTCCAAATTATATTACGTAAGAAGGTGTAACATAATATGATGTACTGATTTAGTTTATCTTAGATCCTTTCAATCATCAAACTTATTTAATCACACTTAGCCTTCGAAACGAGGTTATAATTATAAGATTATTGTAATTAACTTTTCATGTATCGTCAAGTTACCAGCTACATAACAAGAAGTCTTGGGTTTGGGGTCCTTCGATTTTTGTGTTTCTGAGAATGCGCTGTAGCAAAATTATGAGCTTACTGTCTACCTTTCCTATGACACATTTAATATTAGCGAGTCCACGTAGGGACTCTTTCGGAAAAATAACCGATATACCTAAAATACATTTTTTTCTTCATTCCAATGACATTTCGACCTTACTTCATTATTAACCAACTTAAATGTCATACCCAAATTAGAAAGATTTGGTATGAAACATTAATTTTCATAAGTGAATAAGTTAAAATATTTGTACATTTCCAATTAACTTGAGAAAAAACCGAGCAGTGAGCCAGTGATTAAATTGTAGTACCTTCATTAGGCCGAGAACCCGCTACAGTAGTACCTACCGCATGAATAAAATTCTGATTTTATTCGCCATCAAATTTTTTAATGTACTTGAACTCTTGTACTAAGATATTCTTGATATTTTATTTATAGGTAGTTGTTGCTTTGATTTTACACTATAAGTCGCATGTTATGTTTAATGTTATAATTTACATTGTAATAATTTACAATCCATAGTTTTAAAAAAAAATCTGACTGAGTGTTTCCATAATTCTGATATACATATTACCGAATAATCGAACGATAAAGTACCTAATAATTAAAAACCGCAACAAATAAAAACATCATTTTTTATTCTGATAACCCTAAATATAGAGTCCAGTCGATTTAGTTCTATAAAATATAAGAACAAGTTTAATAAATACTTACAAACATGCATTTTTTTAAGGGGGGAAAATTATCGAATGACTGCTCCCGCCTGGGTGAGGCAGAAGGGAGTGTCAGACTCTTACTTACTAAAAACCACCCCGTTCCTTCTCCTGCACGTCGAGTCGGAGCCCTGGTTATCCGTTAGGTTATCATGCATACGTTTTATAGTTGGACCCGCTTAATAGGTTGTCACCACAAAAATTCGAACTAATTTATAGACAGTGGCCAACCGTAATTAACTTTCAGGTTTACTGAGAACGAACGAATAAAAAATGGTATATAACGCGATAATATAGAGGTAGAAAGGACACGTCAATTTTGATAAATCGAATTCCGATATTCTTTTTTTTTTCGCTAGAGGACTTTCAATAGTGAATGAAATATGTGAATTGACAAGATATTATTTATAGTCCACAAAACCGTATGTGGGTAATCATAAGTTATGATCACAGTTATTTATTATTTTTTAAGAGCAACTTGACTTCTTTATTCCCATTGTGAAACCGTAACATTTTACCGATTGTTTTATAGGATGGGGGCAAACGAGGAGTCTTGGTTATTAATTTCTCCAAAGTCATGGTTCCCATTTTCAGAATCTGAACACAATCAGACTACAAATTACAAACAGATCGATGTTATACTCAATGTATATTGATTGACTTGGATAAAAAGAACTAAAACATACTAGAAGAGAGCCCAATTACACCCCTTGCCAATACCCCAACAAACCTTAAATTCCTATCGTCCAAAAGACCGGCAACACAACTGTAATGACTTTGCTGTTTCGTGTGTCCATGCGCGGCACCGATTGCTTACCATCAGGTTATCCGTATGCTCGTTTACTGGCTTATCCATAAAAAAACGACCCTTTTATTAATTGATTCAATACCATCTCATCGTGTATAAATTCCGTACACTTGACCCGATTCAATACCCTCAGTGTCATATTTACAAAAGACAACCTAATTATGACCTAACTTCTAACAGTTACAACCTACGTTCAAATACCTAGCACTTACTCCAAACTAGCTGTGACCACTATAAGGTTAGTCTAGATCAACTTAGTCTAGGACAAAGTAGTTTAGACTAGTTGTCAGGTAAGTTTCTGTGCAAATATTATGCTCAATACTAGGAGTGGTTACTGGGATGGGCGAGCGTACTTAAGTGGTCATACACGATATTTTTATTGAGTCAACATTTTACTTCTACCGAAAAATGTAACGCGTAACATAACGTCATGAATTTTAATCTTCAATGAGATAATCAGAAAGAACTCAGAAATCGAACCTGAGACTCTTGTACGGAAATCGTGACCATAATATAATATTTTATTAATAGCGCAAATATTTTTCACAAAGTATAATCTTATTTAAACATTATATTTGATATTACCAACTCTTTAATATAATTTAATCTATAAACGCTTCAGGTAAGTTACTTTTTACAAAAAAAAAGTTGTTTACAAATGCCTTGTTCTGACATAAAGATGAAAATTCCTTTGGAAACCTTCAAAAACAAAAAAGAGGTTTTATTTGTTAACGTTACTTTGTTTTGTATCAAATTCCTAAGCAAAAAGAATGTGCACAAAATAAAACTTTTATTAAATACGAATTAAGTCTAAAACACAATAACGTTACGCGAATGTCCTAATTTTTACAGTTTCTTCTTTTGTTTTATTACAACACCGATACAAGGCGATGTCTTCTCAAACCCGTACTTTAGCAGTCGTAAATTCGGACCCACTATCCCTTATTTTATTTCCCAAACAGCCGGAGACAAATTTCGCTAACAAGATACTTTCTTGGCGTTTTATGTTCTAATAACTTCCTTATTTACTTTAACTTTGCTTACTACTTAGTGTGAACAAACTTTGGGCCAGTACCTTCAAAAGTTCCTTTGGGGTCCTTTTTCATCAATCAAGTTGTCTCTTATCTCTATCTCTTGCAATATAAATAATAAATAAAACGTACACGTACTGCATACTAACAACCAATGATCGATTACTTAAGAAACCATTCTTCGGCCTAAGTAAATATTTTTATGTGTGAGTTAATTGAGAAACTCTGCAATTTGTTACTTTTTTTTATTATCTTCTAGAATAGTAAAAGTTCGGAAAAGGTTTTAATTCTATTCTAAAATGAAGATAAGGGTAGGTATTTACTGCCTTTAATAAATAATGAAAAGTAAATAATAAACCGATTTGAAAATAGAACCAGTCATTACACTTGCTCTTATGAGCACACAACCAACAAAGTAGACGCACACATTGAAACTCATTTCATATAGTATTTTAATAAAGAGACAGTTTCCACTTTATCTCTGAAGCTAGCAACACCTCTGTAAACTCCTAGGTGTAAATCTACATTCCACACACGACAGTAATCACTTTCTATGTTAGGTGTCAAAGTATTTGCTAACCTAAAGGTATCTGCATAAGGTATAATATTAAAACATGAACAACAAATCACTTTCAAGCTTTAATAAAATTGTAAATCATATAAAACCTACTCAAATAAGTAAGAATATCGATTTCATCATAACTAGCTCAGGAGGAGTTCACCCATACAAACGTGACTTCTTCAAATAGTGATTTGTTGGTCTAATTGTTATAAATGACGACTATGACTTTGACATTCGATAAACAGAAAAATATGCTGCAAAATTATCTATCGTGATAAAAATGCCTTCCTTTAGCAATGATTTCTTATTACGTGCACTTCAGAATCGGAACTTCTCAGCTCACAATAGATATGAAGTAGTCATAACGCAGATCTTATTTCGTAAAATAGCGAATCGTGAGAAATAACCTAAAGACATAAAAACTAACCGAGTGTGTTTCAATGATATTGTGTTACGAGCCCTGTTTCTAAGGAAATTTGTAGCTTAGCAGGAATATGGATCTTGTGACAATGGACATAGAATGCTGTTTCGCTAACGTCTTATTGGATATTAGTGATAATATTAATGGCTATTGCTAGGACACTTAGGTCAATGTGTAGTAAAAGTAGTTTCACACTTCGACCTTTCTGCAAATAATAAAATGGTTCGAATGGTACCTAATAGATTGATAATTGCTTTTCAAGACCTTGGCAAAAATGTTTCCATAATGTCTGCTATCAAACAGAGTAGCATTTTAGTTTTAAGACTGAGAGTGCTTCGGTAATTAAACAGGTACAAGAAAAGTACTAAAAGCAACTTCCGCTGTCTTGAGGTAGTGACAAGGGATTTTAGATTCTTTTAATATTATCATAATGTGTATACTTAAGTATTAAATGCATGGTGCTTTTTACTGTTAGTTTTTCTTTGATAAATTTTCATTATTTTTCGTTTTTAATCTCTTATGCTCCGTTTGTCTGCGAAATGCTTCCGTCAATATTAGCAGTTGCTCTGTTATTCACATTCTCACAATCTTCTTACATTTTTATTATACAGGAATGTCTGTGGTTTTGTAAATGAAAATTATATATACGTTTGTGAGATAAGTATTAGATATTCCAAAAATTATAATATGACCTTTGAAGGAGTAGGTAAAACGATGTGTTTTAGTAGCAATACGGTTATTGGCACGAATGGCTTTAATTCAATTCCCGAAGCTGCTAATTTCATACTTATTATTATG